CTATTTTGACAACTGCATGGTGATTGTTTGATTGATTGTATTGTGTTTTGTCAGTAAAGCCGGCTTATTTTCTTTAATCATCTCATTTTGACACTCCATCTCCTTGGCCGAACCTAACAATGCTAGTCCAAATAAATATATTGAGTTACTTTAGTAACTGAGTAACAATTGAAATAAGTGTCACACAAGTGAACCAAACATGTCCCCTCCGGGTCACCGTATATTGTAACAAAAATAATAAATGCATAAATTATCAAATGCAATTTAAAAGGTCCAACGTGGCTCATTGCAGATTCAGTATCAAGAATTTAGCAATTTAATGGGGACTTAATTTAGCGATTTATGGGATTTAAAAGGTCCCATGTTACTCCTCACACTGCGATGGATTTTCACGATTAATACCGTTCCAAATTACATCCTTTTCAGGACATCAATATAATCCCGCGGTAACTAAAGAGCCTATCCTTTAGTCGTGTCCTCAAGAGTTAGGTGATCAGTCTATATAAATTCGTATTCTATTATAGAAATAATAGATTTCCCCTTTATATTATAAGTCTACCTTTTGTGGTACTCTTCAACCGTGTTCACACTATAACAATTTGTCGTACATATATCACTATATATGTTTACATGTTATATGCTGCCTCTTTGGCTAGGCTGTTTGATCAATCAAATTTAACAGTGAATTATTCTTATCTCAAAAGAATGCTTGATGTTGGTTTCCCCAGAAAGGATCTTCCTGATCCAGTTGAAGGAATGTGACTTAGCACTCAATGATCCAAGGTCCAGTCAGATGATTTAACAAAATTTATTAAAATAATCAAATGAAAAAGGAATACTTGTTACAGATCATAAACGAGTACTAACTAACAGATAGATACTAGCTAGGCTTGAAGCTTCTTGCCTCTGACAAATGCTGGCGTGTCAGAGTGTTGGTTGCAAGGACGAGCAACGAGTCCGTCTGATCCTTCTCCTTTTATAGCAAGGTTTCATCGGTACTCCAGCAGCTAACAGCAAAATTTTTCCGTACATAACAGCAAGCACTTAAGTAGCTAACAGCAAACACTTCGGTAGCTAACAGCAAAAATATTTCAGTAGATAACAGCAGGATACGTTTAGCTAGCGACAGCATACCATAATTCTAAGTATATAGGGTGTGCTTATCTTTGGGCAAACCTTCTTATCATAAACAGTGGTCTTGGTTCTTGGAAGCTGTAACAGGCAGGGCGGGGGTTTACATCCTGTCCCTGACAACAGTAGCATGTCTTTAGAAAGAGTGGTTGCGGTTAAAGTTTTTCCCTTAAGCAAGTCATCCACAGTTCACAATCATTTCTTTTATTCATTAGTATATTTCAAATGTCTACATTCCTTAATCGCCCAGATATTTCTCTTACTCTGGTCATCCTATTTGTAGTTTTCTTATTATGACCTTTTCTGGTCTTCTTTTGAGATTGAGCATCAGAGGAAGCGAGTGAAATGTCACCCACATGGGCCGTTTCGATCACAACACCCAGGCTCAATATGAAGTATTTACTAGCAAAACTTCTAGGATTCATATACCAAAATATACAAAGATGCACAAATAATGTAACAAATACAACAATCACTGTTGGTTAAGCAAATTGTCTTCATGATTGTATAACTGAACATTGTGAACTGGCTCAGAAGACTAAACACTGAGTGAGTGAGGGCACTATTGGTAACATCAACACTGGTAGGCGAAATCAACAGAAGATTATGAAAACTGTGCCAAATGTTGTTCGTAATGACAAATATCTATAAAATGACAGATCAAATAAAATTAACAGTGAGGATGGCACGCTAAGTCGAACTGCTGTTAGGCCGACTAAATCGATCCAATGGCGGTATTCGATCAGCGGCGAAGGTCTCACACGTGTTCCGTCTTTTCTCACGGCAAAAGGATTTTGATTAAATGCAATACATTTTTCATATGTATTCTCTCGTTATTTCATCTGACTCATGAAAAGGTTTTTAATGATATCTGTGCATCATTAAATATAAGCAAAAGTTTGACTAATTCCTTTTTAACTCTAATGAAATAATATCAAAGTCAGTTAGAAGAATCATCAAATGTAACAATGTATTATGTCAGGTAAATTTATCATCAGTTCAAAGATAATCAATACAAAATATCAAATATTCTGGAATAAAGAGAAGACGAACCCGACATTAGGAAATAGGCTACGTGAAGCTGAGAGACTCGGCACTCTCAGCTTCACGGGCTCATCTGAGATACAGAAAAGGCCCTGATCCTTCCGCTGCATTTCATTATATAGCCAGACCTCATTTCATATGTAAACATGAGTTCACAGTGGACACTTACCTTAAACCCTCTCCCAGACTTACTGGAGGTACGAGTTGACCATTTTTTAACAGTGGGGATTTGCATTCAGGAGTTTACACCTTTTTGGGGCAAGGACCATGTCTAAAGGGCACATTCCTTTGTGTGCCAGTTATCCCTAAACTTCTAATAAACCTTATTACCTGTTTTACTCTTTTGGAATGAGACATCTGTACCACCCACTCTGGGACATTTAAAGGTGCCCTGTGTCATATCGGCCAAAAAATCAATTCATACTCCACATTCCATACCAGACGGGGGCAGTATACCTCCAGAAAGTGAGTTGGTCTACTCTAGAGTAACAAACGAGAAACGGCATAGTCTCTATGCTCCGCCCCTACCTTCACAACGACCCTAGAGCCATAGCCGAAGCCGAGCCGACGTTTTGACTACAGAGGAACGTTGGTGGATGTCAAGTGATTTTTAAATATGACATCGTGAAGCTACTCCCCTTCACCTTCACCTTTCATATTCGTTTTGTTCATATTACATTTTTATTGTTATTTTGAATTACATTAATTTGACAGACAGCATTCGCTGATGTTGACCGTGTTGACCAAGCTAGCGCCATTCAGAGCTGCCAACTCTCACGAATTCACCGTGAGACACACGCAATTGACACTTTTCACACGCTCTCACGACTAGGGTTGCCAACTTCCGATAGGAAAAATGCGGGACATATTACTATATTTTGGCGATTTCGGTTTTGTTGACCGGGGGGGTGGGGGGGTGGGAGGGGTTATCTCGCAGGCAAGGTCTCTCGCTCTCTCCCTCTCTCTCTCTCCGCGCTACACGGTTTGGCGCTGACGCACATACAGTAGGCTATGTTCTGTCTCGCATGCGCAGCTCTTCTAGGAGATTTTAACTAATTTACGTGTCGTGTTGCTGTTGTATCAGTCAGATCAGCGTAGCACTCAATAATCGGGACAAGAGAGGTCCCGATCGGGACAAATAAATTAGGCCCAAAAATCGGGACGTCCCGGCTAATTCGGGACAGTTGGCAACCCTACTCACGACACACATCAATTTTGTCACGCACAGAAAAATCGCAAAGCAAAGAGGACACAGACTAGACAGAGCAGGTGTTATGATATAAAAAAATCTCAGCTCTCAGATTCTGTCAATTTTATTACACAATTCAAACAATAAATACCGTTTTGGCGCTTATAAATGTTACACGACACATCCCTAGCGCACGTGAACCGATCATCTCTACTAGCTAATAGTAAAAAAACACGAACACTGTTGAAGGATACAGAAGGCTACAACTTACCAAAATGTATTCCTCATACATAATATCGACCAATCATTTTTTTAATCAGCGTGCAGAGGTCAATAACATAGCTGGAGAACAAATATAACAGATTTACCTCAGGAAAGCAATTTAATAAACATAATATAGGTCCGCTCTCTTCCCTGAACTGAAATGTAGTAGTGGGCAGTACTTTCCACTCGATTGACATCAGGTTCAAGTACGCCCACAAGCCATGCGAGTTATTCGTGTATTGCAGTTTGTCTGGTGGTTATGTTGCCCGCATACCGCCTCCCATGGCCGAAACTGGTATTATGACACCTGTCGGGCCGTGGCTAGTAATTTAGCATGCTAATTCAGGTTGATATCTCTGCAGCACTATAACTTGTCATTTTTTAAATGACATCATCGCTCTTATTTCTTCTCATTCTTTTGATGCGTGTAGCTCATTTTTTGGATATTTTGACCTCAATTGTTACACATGGCACCTTTAAAATGATACTAAACACAATACTCAATGATAATCATTCACATTAAACCATATATATATTCTTATGTGAGTTTTGGTGATCTTCCCATGTGGGATGAGGAGGAGAAGTGTAGCACGAGGGGGAGTTCAAATGTTAATTTGCATTGTTCTCTCAGAGAGTGAGAACACTATCCTCCAGTTTTTCCAGTCTTACACTGCTATATTTTATTCCAGCTGCATTTTTTCTGCTGATATGAAAATGAACTTTTACACGTGGGCCTATACAAAATATGCTATACTTTCCTTTATGAAAGACAGTAAATGAACTAAGAGTGATGCATATTGTAGGGGGAAGTTAAGACTCATAGACCAGGTGTCAAGGATTTCAATCAATAATTTTACTTAAAAAAAAAGTTTTTTGCAACATCAGTAGCACAGTATGTGGGTCGTTTCTGCTTTACAGTCTCATTCAGAAATACTTATAGTAAACAGGTAGCAGTGATTTATGAAAGAGTCCCAAGAGCACAGGACTCTAAATGGTTAACAACACATAGGTTTTGTTTACATGTGGTATTATCAATCCTATCACAAGTGGACGACGCTAAATACAGGTGTAAACAGAGTTTAAAATGTTTTGAGCTTGTCCACTTTCCACGACTTCCAAAGGTAGTAGAAAATGCGTTCGACCGGATTGCTTTCGTAGTGTAAATAGCTCATGTGGTCGAATATGTATTCGAACAGCCACAACAGACCGCCTACTCTCCGCAAAATTACTTAACGCATAAACATTATGGGAAGCGCGCTAGCCAAACGGGATTTAAACTCTGTTGGCTAAAGATCCAAGTTTGGTTTGAAGACGAAAAATGTACCAAGCACAATGTTCTCTCACCATTCCTGATTTCTAACACACACTCACAATGTTCAGCGTGGTCTTGCAGCTGTCAGAGCAAATGAAAGTTGCTGCTCTCCGTATACGTATATTCGTCTCCGTTCACGTTCATATGTAAATTAAGCAAGCTTATTTTGTCCATTAGATCAAAAGATCTGAAAAGGCTCATACATTTAACCTCCCCTCAAAGAGATCAGGACAGAAGTGTCGAAAGTTGACAAAAGAGACAGATTAAAACACCAGATGTAAACGGGTATGTTTCCCGCGTCTACATGTGATCTGATCTACCAAAATGTATTTTAATACCAGGTGTAAACAGGGCCATCGATAAACTTTCATTTAAACAGATGAACAGAATTCGCACACACAACCGGAGCAGAGGGAAGCCTTTTTTGCTGCGTCGCCTGGGTAGCGATTGTTAGGTGTCTTGCTCAAGGCAACCTCAGTTGTTGGTAATGAGAGTGGAAGAGAGCGCTGTTAATTCACTCCCCCACCTACATTTCCTGCCGGTACTGAGACTCGAACCCACGACCTTCGGGTTACAAGTCCGACTCTAACCATTAGGCCACAACTTCCCCTAAGTGAAACTCTTCCCACACGGAGGGCAGTGGTACGACTTCTCTCCGGTGTGGATCCTCTCGTGGTTTTTCAGATGTTCTGATCGACTGAATCTCTTGTCGCAGTGAGAACACTTGTAAGGTCTTTCACCAGTGTGACTTCTCTGATGCAGTTTCAGTTCACCATCTCTAACAAAAGTCTTTCCACAATCAATGCACACATGATTCTTGACACCGTTGTGTCTTTTCTGGTGTAATTTTAATGTACCCAAGTGACTAAAACTCTTTCCACACAAAGAACACACGTAAGGCTTCTCCTTTGTATGAACTTTCATGTGGTCCTTCAGCGCATCTGCCCTAAGAAATGTTTTGCCGCACTGATCACAGTAGAACGGTCTTTCTCCAGAATGAGAACGCAGATGCGATTTTAAACTGCATACCTTTCTGAAACTCTTCCCACACTGATCACATGTGTGCGGCTTCTCTCCAGTGTGGGTCCTCATGTGTTCCTTAAGGGATCCTTTTTTTGCAAACCCCTTCCCACACTGATCACATGTGTGCGGTTTCTCTCCAGTGTGGATTTTCATGTGATCCTGAAGGCCTCCTTTTTGTAAAAAACTCTTTCCGCACTGATTACATATGTGTGGCTTCTCTCCACTGTGGATTCTCATGTGAAGTTTAAGACTCTGTGTGTATGTGAAACTCTTCTCACACTGACCGCATGCATGCTTCTCTCCAGTGTGGATCCTCATGTGAACCTGAAGGTTTCCTTTATCTGTGTAACTCTTCCCGCACTGATCACATGTGTGCCTCTCTCCAGTGTGGGTTCTCATGTGTCTCGTCAGGCTTCCTTGTTCGGTGTAACTCTTCCCACACTGAGGGCAGGTGAAAGATTTTTTGTCTCTTCTTTTCAGGAAATTAAAGTGACTCAAAAAATGTTCATCAGTTTTGATATCATGATGTTTCTCCTTTGCTTCACTCTCCTCGTTCTCTTTCATCAGGTCTAAAATAAAAGAAAGTTTAAATTTTCAGTAAATCATTAAAAATTTGTGACATTAAAAAGTGAACCCTGATGTAATAGCATAAAGAAGTCAACTGCAATATTTATTTTAATAGATTATTTTGATGCATTTATATAAGAAATCGGCCATTGATTGCCTTTACCAATACGTTTTCCATATAGGTTATTTAAGCTTTTTTCTTAATCTGATATATATTCATTTCCAAATGGCTTGTCCTATGTAGGGTCACAGCGATCTGATGACTATCAGATTTGCATGCCCCACCTCTGGAGACCCAGCAGACAGATTACTGTAAATACTGTAAAACAAGATAAAGTTAGAAGAACCGGAGAGTTGCGTCAGGTCTTTGAGGTCTCAGTACGCTATTCTGTTCGCAACTCCACAGAATGACAAAATAAGAGTCTAGAGCTGCAACTAACGATTCTTTAGATTAATAGATTGATCTCTTGATTATTTTTTGATTATTCAATAAATCTGATGAAACACACACCGGTACTCATTCATTTACACATAAGGATATAACCATGAAATGAAAGTTATGCGATAAGTAAAACACATGCCAGAGGCAATTAAACAGCACACACATCTGTCAAAGCAAGACAGGGCAAGACCCAGTAAACGTTTATGCTTTTGTCTGACGCACTTACATATAAAGGATTCTCATTTTTCGGACAACTTGGATCATATACCATGTACGCTTCAACTCAATCTGTGACCTCCTCTATTTTCTATAAGCGTTTGTTCTATAGAAATAGGTTATTCACTACTGTAAAACGGTGTGACTGGCTGATGGTTTCCGAGCACAGCGCGCATACACGACTAATCAATAATCAAATTTGTTGTAGATTATTTTCATTGTCGATGATAATCGATTTTAGCGATTAATTGTTGCAGCCCTATAAGAATCTTTTTTTTTTCATGTTGGCCATGTAGTTCCATATACATTTGTTAATTTACACATCAGCTATGAAAAAAAGGAAATAAAGCAGCGTAATCAGTGAACAAGAATTAAAAATTTAAAAATAATAATTGTGTACATACTTTGTGTGTCTCACATCAGCATCTCATGCCATGGGCAGGGAAACACTCACAGTAGAACTGCACGATTAATCGTTAAAAGATTGTGATCTCGATTCAAAAACCCAAGCGATCTTATTCCTAAATGACAATGATTCGCCTGTGTCTGTTAAAGGGATGGTTCATCCAAAAATGGAAATTCAGTCATCATTTACTCCCCTTTTGAAAGTAACTTGGTGCTTCACAACAATTTTATCGATTACATTGTTGCGCCAGTAGGTGGCAACAAGTGACTGTTAAAAAATGTATTTGTCAATTATCATTGAATAATTAATTCAAGATATTCATTAAAAAAAAGTCTGATTCATCCAGTAATGAAACAAATCTTTAAGAGTGATTCATTGAATCTTTCACTCAAACTTATTTTTTAAAAACAATTTATTCAAATTACACTTTTTTTTTTAATTGACTGCTGCAATTAAACGTTTGTCAGAACCTCTAGAAAATGTTATTTTGTTTAGTTGTCTGTTCAGAATCGTGGGAGATTCGTGATCTCGGTTTGAAACAAAAAATGTTTTTGTTATTCTCAAGTCATCCAGAATCGTGCAGCACTTCTTCACAGGTAGGGTAACTTGCATTGCTTTAATTATTAAAAATAGCGCTGTCAGCAAGCATATATTTGTGATAAAATCCTAGAAATAAAAAACATTAATAAATCTGATAACATGCCTTTCGAAGTGAACACTAACTAATTCAATTTTGTATGAACTGTTTTGTTTGTTCCTTTCCTGACAATTTATCATTTTTTCCAGTGAATAGGTGATTTGCCAGCATAGATAAGTGATAAGTAGAAATTTGACAACCGCTAACATTTTTTTAACTAACATCGTGGTTACGGTCACGAAACCTTGCAGTGTTGCTCTTCCACGAAAGTTTATCCTTTTTAATTTAAGCCTTGCTTAAGATACGGAAGTGAATTTAACTTGGTTCTTGTACACTGTTCGGACGGTCGGCCAGTTTTGTTTCACAGTTTTTAGGAGACCAGGAGTCAAAGTTGAAGTTTAATCAGTTGACAGAGAGTTTACTGAAGACCAAGGCCGCAGAAAATAAGTAAGATCCAGCCTCGAACTCATCATCAGCTGACGTCATTTCTAAAGGTTCTGAAAGGTTAAAAGCATAGATCATTCTAGCAATGTCCAAACATGGTGTTCTGTTCTTTAAGCAAATGTGTGTGGGTTTTTTAAAGAGAGCATATTTGCCAGACTAAATTTTCATCCAATAGCAAAAAGGATCAAAGAGTTTTCAATAACAACCTGCGTGTTGTACTTCAAGCAAACATAGATTAGCGTAGATTTCTTTTCTTTGTTTTTAATATGTAGGTTCATAATCATTTATAATCATTAGTCATTCATGTAGTTGTCATTTGATTGATCAATTTATTCATTTTATATTTCCATAATTTACTCATTTTATCATAGTACTATTCTTCTTTAATCATTTATGTCATTATGTGCTTTTATATGACTTATTTTACTTATTTCCTTGCTCTTGTAATGTTTGCTATTGTTGTTCAATCTTATGATTGTTTGGCTTGAAGGGATGTTTGTCTTCATGGGTTAGAGATAACAGAATGTCTCAATTTTAAAGGAGTTTAACGTCACAGGACGATGTCATGAAGCAGTCAATTTCCATGCTTTTTTCTTGGCATAATAACACTTGTTGGAATTGTACTTGGCAGAGGAAGTCAGAGCATTTAGTAGTGCAACATCTTCACTTCTCAGATGTTAACTACAGACATAACCTGTAACATTTAATTCCAGGATAAATGGATTTAAAGGGATAGTTCACTTTGAAATTAATTTTTGATATGTTTTAGCTTACCTCAAAGGCATCCAAGATGTAGGTGTCTTTGTGTCCACAGTATTTTCTATTTTGTTATTTTTAGGTCAAACTGTTCTTGTCTGTCAGTCATATAATGCAGGTCTATGGGGTCCTCCTCAAAGAGCATGCACAGAGAAGTCCAAATTAAACATGATTTAATGACTCGTAAATGTAAGTAAAGGAAAAGCGCCGGAAGTGATCTCGCGTGTACGTCACTCATACAATTGTTTTATTTTTTTTTATTGTTTTCTCTTACGACGGTTTAAACATCCCGGATAAGCGCAAATTAGTACCCTTTTAATTAGCCGTCTTACCTACAATCTCTGTTCTGTGTAAACAATGAGTGACGTACACGCGCGAGAGATCACTTCCGGCGCTTTCCGGAAAAGGCCGAAGCGCCGGCGACCTCAGATAACTTGGACGTGGCTGTGTTTACAAGAGGTAAAAACGATAGAAATACTGTTCGTTTTCTCACACAAACCGCTCGTTTCGTGTCTTAGGCCATCAATGTGTACAATGTGTTTAATTTGGACTTCTCTGTGCATGCTCTTTGAGGAGGACCCCATAGACCTGCATTATATGACTGACAGACAAGAACGGTTTGACCTAAAAATATCAAAATTGAAAATACTGTGGACACAAAGACACCTAAATCTTGGATGCCCTTGAGGTAAGCTAAAACATATCAAAAATTAATTTCAAAGTGAACTATCCCTTTAAGCAACGTTTCTATCCATTACATAATAAAAGAGGGTATTGTAAATCCGCCTTTTCAATTTATATTTCCAATGCATCTCATATAGTAATTTGCAACTTAAACTATTTTTTTTTTCAGTTTTCATGACTGTTCTTCTAACAACAACCACTAAATCTGATTAACTGCTTCAAGTTTTATAACCTTAATGTACTTCAGTAATGAATCATTCATCAAGAATAAACACCAACCTCTTTGATTTTCAGTATCTTCATGTTTTATTCTGCAGGGTTCTGGATCGTTCATGTTCCCTAAACTCTAATTTCTTCACTTGTAAGATGATGAAAATATTCCAGCATTTAATTGGTGAATTCCTGTGGAGAATATGAGAAGCAGATCTGATGAATAAAAAATAAATCAGTTATTGAGTTACACATTTTAAGCATTTATGTTATGTTTAACTATCCATCTATCAAAATGTAAAATAACTGTTTTATATTTAACTTAATTTAGCTTTTCACTTGCCTGTATTTTTGTTCATTGGTTATTATTTATGTATTTTTATTTTATATGAAACATTTTTTCTCACTATAACAAAAATAATGGTGTTAAGAGAGGTGTACTCAGTCTGCTGCACCAATGAAATTACTTGTGACCTTACTAGTGATATGACAATTTTCAAGAGATGAAAAGGGACTTGTTGTCATGAAATAAAGAGATTATCGTTTTATATTACTCATTCATAATACGAGTCGGTATACATTCTGAAAAAAACGCTACAACTGCACAATAACAGTATTTCTCACCCACAATCTGAGACAAGTAATGAAAATACATTAAAACGTTTTTGCTTCGTTTTTAGTATCTTATTTAACATTTACAGAGTGACTTGACTTTCAAATCATGAGTAACATAACATCAAACATCAAAACAAGACGAACAGACAAAAAAAATAGCACAGAAACGTTAACTTACCTCAAATGACCAGCTACGCTAAATGTTTATAGAAGGCAGACGCCAAAAGACACAAATAGCACAGCACATTTGATGGGGGAAAAGACAGAAATGAGCGCTAAAATGTTGCTAATAAATGTATTTATTTATTTGTCAAGATAAGACATTTGTAAATAAACAACGCGCTGTGAATTACTCACCTCCACAGAGTGAGAGAACGCTGGTGGTAACCGGTGACGTCATCACTGCGAGACGATCTATACACTTTTTTTGATGGTCTATTTTTTTATTTTCCAATATATCATGTACAAACAACATTGCAACAAAAATATATAATTACAATATGAATGGAGGTACAGGTACAAAAGCGCATTGCAGAAAAGAAAACTAAATAATTAAATTAATGAATTAATGAATTAAAAGATAAAAAAGGAGGGGCGGCGGGGGTTGGAGATGTGCCGTTTTCTCATTCCTGGTTATTTCATTTCAGATTGGAAATCAAATGATCGGATGATACACGGACCGTTAACTAACTCTCATCAGAGTATTAGTAGACGGTTTGCTTAATATCTGCAAACACTTTATTTTGATGGTCCTTAAACAATTTAGCAACTAGGCCTACATGTCAACTTAATCTAACCCTAACCCTACCAGTCTACTAATACTCAACTAACACTCTAATGAGAGTTAGTAGACATGTAGGTGCAACGTTACTTATATTAAACAGAATGTGTTAAAGGGACCATTAAAATAAAGTGAAACCTAAATTTTACAATATCTAATATAAAAATCTAATATCCATGTGCGAAGTCAGTTTATCGTAAAAAGTACAATATTTGCCTCTGAGATTAAAGGGGGGGTGAAACACTCAGTTTCACTCAATCTCATGTTAATCTTGAGTACCTATAGAGTAGTATTGCATCCTTCATATCTCCAAAAAGTCTTTAGTTTTATTATATTTATAAAAGAAAGATAGGCTGTACCGAGTCTTTCCGGAAAAACCCGAGCGGGTGGAGGCTTGCCGTGTGGGCGGAGCTAAATAATCACGACACGAGCGCGCGAAGCTTTTGCGTTGAGAGCGTCTGGAAGCTGTGAGTGACATCCGAAAATAAACCATGGCTAACAATCAGATAGTAATCCCATGCAGAACAAGGATCTAAACAATACTAAGGGCTCGTTCATACAGAACGCGTTTTTGCTCACAAAAACGTGAGATGGGCAGTGAAATGCATGGGTGAAAACCATAAGGTCTCGAGCGTTTTTAAAAAAAAATAGAAATGATTTGAACTTGAGCGCAGTGTTTTTAGAACACCATGTCATGCGCGAGTTTTATAACATTTGTGTGTTGTAAACAGACAGACTCGTGGTTTATGAGGACATGATTTATTTTTACAATAAACAAACTGACACCTACAGTGGCCAGCTAAACAAATGTATTTAAACACACACACACACACCATACATCGCATGCTCCATAGATATACATTAACTGTATGTGATCATGTTGTTTACTTGCTGTGCTTACACGCCGATAGTTAACAACTCACAGACATTTGAAGCAGTTTTACTCACCGCCTGCGGTTCCAACGCACGACCGTGAACCTTTATCGTTGGGACTGCTCCATCTTTAAGTATTAGGCGATCTGCAAATCCGGCGTTGAACTGGGCCTTGTTTATAAAACTATTACCGTCGAAATAAAGGAAACAAACAAAAGCACTTGCACAACTCCGTTGCTGCTCTGGAAAAACAAAATCCATCCACAGGTCCCTTAACGCTGGGTTCTTTGGAAATTTGTGCAGTGTTGTCTTGCCCTGGCAACCAAAAACACTTTTTTGGTGCCATTTTTTTAATTGCAGCGCAGCCGACCGAGCCCAGCGCTCTGATGGGCATAGGCGTACTCTCGCACGCACTAGGCTACAGATGCGCGCGCGCCCTTCCGGGAGAAGTGCCCTTAAGACCCGTATAAGGAAATTCCGGCCACTCTGACGTCATACACGCCCGTATTCGAAAAAAACTTTCCGAAACTTGTGACAACCCGGAAGGAGTATTTTTGGAACAGAATTACTCCATCAAACTTACAACTTCATTTTTGAAACTTTGTCCATGTTTAGCATGGGAATCCAACTCTTTAACAGTGTAAAAAACTCACTATACATGAAACAGCATTTCACCCCCCCTTTACCCCCCTGGGGTCGGCTATCGCGCCGGCGCGATTGTCTTGCTTTTTTTCTTATCAGTGTAAAAGAGACTCAAAATACTCGGTTGGTTTTGATCTTACATATAAGTGTTGTACATCATTAGATCCTGTTAAGTTTCTATTTTTTTTATGGATACTCACAATAAAAACAAAGTGTTGTGCTTTTCACCAAATAAAGAAAAACAAACATGATGCGAGTTCTGCGTTCTCTCTGTCAGTGAAGTCCATTCTGAAACGCGTCCTAAGATTAACTGTAACTCCGCGATTACTTGTCACACAGGCACGAGAGGTTTTTCTTTATGAAGCTTAAATTCTCTTCTTTTAAATGAAGTAATTTATATAAAAAACAAATATTCTCAGTTTATGCAATCTGTATGAAAAGAGAGTGCTGTCAGTATTTTTTTTCCCAGCTCATTACACTTCATTACGCGTTAATCTGACACGCCCACGGAGGACGCGTGCTATTCAAACGCAAATGTCGGCAAGCCATGACAATGCCCACATCAGCCGTTCCACCGCGGCGGTAAAATGTGTGGTGTATTTGCTGCCTTTTACCGCTAAGAGGCGCTACAATCATAGACTCTGAAAAGTGTTCGTTTATTCCGGTTTATTCTCTCTAATGCGTAATCTGCTGCCGCACCGAAGAATTCAACAAGTGAAACGTAGTTAAAATAATTCATAATCACAATACTGAAATTAGGCTACTGAAATGTAATTGAATAAATAATGAAAACATTTCAACATAAAACATTGCAATAAAAAACATTTAGGCTACATGAATGAGGCTTTACCACTTTATCAGTGTACAGACGATAGCTCAGTGGTTAACGCATCAACACGAGCTTCGAGGAGCTTCATTAGACCCGAGATCGAATCTCAATGCAGCATACATGTTGTTAACCGATGTTGTCCTACAGCGTTTATATTTTCCCACCTTGATGCTTAAATAGGTAACTGTTTATAACTGTTTGCTTATTTAAAGTCAAGAGTTTTGTTTAATTATCATTACAACATAAATTTGCTACATTCCTGTAGAACCGCAGCCGCTGCACAAACGACAAAAACTGATGAAGGAAGATTGTCAGCCGATTGCATCAGAAAATGAAAATGAAGAAGCTCGTCTTTAGTCTGCTAAATTATTGTGTAATGTAAAAGAACACTAAAATTACTTAAGTTTGAAACCAAGTTCGAACATTTCAAGGTTTACATTTTTTCATCGGGTTGCATCGGGTTTAGAGTTTATTTCTTTTGCGATGCAAAATAAGAAACACTAGGCTAATCTTATTCTTGCGACATTTTAAATGTGTATTGCCAAAGAAATTACAGCTAAATTAAACAATTAAAACAGTACAAAACGAAAATTGTCCAAAGAAACATAATTAAATTAAAAACATGCGTTTCTCTTTGCCTCTCTCGCGCTGGATCTCTTTTTAACAAGTTTATTTTAGTCTCCCTCGCTACGCGCGCGGGTCTCTCTCTCGAAATTAATCATTTCAGGGTAAAAACACATCATACAGCTGATAATACTGTATATGTCGCTGCGTGTCAGCCATACAAATCACGAAAAAAATATTTAACCTTTAATTGTTGCTTCAAAGACACAGCATGCCTTGTTGAATTCACCTTACAATCACTTCAATTGAAATTTTGTGTGAAAAAAACTTAAAATAGGCTACAATAAATAAACTACAATATTTATAATTTAATAAGATATGGGGTCTACATTTGGACACAGATTTATCCTTACAATAATTTTGCCTGCTCATCAGGCTGGCTATCCGACACTCTCCATATGAAAGAGGAACATTAACACCTTTGTCCAGCAACTGTCCCTCCAACCCCCCACAGGCTATCGGAGTCTGAGGCTGACTTAACACAAAGAGAAGTCGCAATTCACACTTAAATCCCTATTCTAGACAGTGTTGATAATGAAGGAATTAAATGATTTAAGTTACATGTAGCCTAGTGATATTTCTGTCATAAAAGTTTATTACTAAATATTTCATTATTTCAATAATTGATGAAATAAAACTGGTTTGGGCCAGCTTTTTCCAAGCAAAACTAAATATAACCTGAAAAAACGCTTGTTAATTTGTTGTCATGAACAAAATGTTCAACTCAATATTAAATTCTACAGGGATCTTTGGATCCTTACAAGGCATGCAATTTGTGAATTAAGTTTTTATTTTATTTTGTATTATTCAAATAAATATCGAAACACGGTGCTTCGTGGTAATGCTGCTAAATTAAATAACATTTATAGAATAATTATGAACTTAAATGAAACAATATCACAACATTTCGACAAATACATTATTTGATCTGTTTTTACATTTTAATTCAGGGCGATTTAGCCTACATAGAGCGAGATTTTCACCCTTGTCTTGTCATTTTCTCATTGGGAAGCGCTTACATTGCATGTTTGAGTAGATCCTCTGTACCTCTCGTTAGCCTATATGAATACAAGTTTACAGTTTTGAACGATGTAAGCCTACTCTACTCTTATCTGTATGACCAAAAAATTACGGGGGGGGGGGGTTAAAATAATTCAGCAGAAGCAGGGATGTTTAGACCAGAAGGAAATCCTAGTCCCCCCTGGCAAATCACACTTTACTTAAAACCATGTTTTTAAAAAACTCTAGGTTGTACAGACCTCTCTGCCATGCAAGCGCATGGTCTGCCTCGCATGCACGCTCGCTCTAGATAGATTACGGGATATTTTAACTAATTTGCGGTATAACTAGTCGATCACGAGTGGCTGAGCCACTCGTGATCTCAACAGGTAGATCTATAGATAAACTATATCTTTTAGGAATTTGACCGACCGGGTTGACACTTCAGCGTGAGAAATCGGGGGTGTGGCGTGAGAGCGTGAGATTTGGGTAAATTGCGTGAGTAGCCTACGCTCACGCTCAATGCGTGAGAGTTGGCAGCCCTGGAAAAAAAATATATATATATATATATATATATATATATATATATATATATATAGGCTATATATAATTAATTTTTTTACAGAACTGCTTTTGAAATTACGATTGGTAGCCTATTATTATACAGATGCAAAGTCGTTCTGTTGGATAGCTACTATTTTGTTCCTTATAGTGTAAAATGGAAATGCATGATAATTGTATTTTATAAATATAAGCAAAAAAAACTGTATGGTGTAACAGAGTTTTAGAGCTAGACAAATCTAAATAAATCTAAAATATACAGCAGACCATGTTTGTGCGGGATTTGAACCCGCGTCATCTTGATGATGAACCGTAAGTTCTACCGCTCGGCTATGAATTTACTCACTGAGAAATACCCGAACGTCTGTTTCTCACATGAGCGATTTTTTCATTTAGCCTGTGAGTGTAGGCCTATACTTGAGCCTTTTACAGTTTTAAAACATTATATCTTATCTGTATGACCAACAATTATGGAGTAGGCTATAAATGTTTGTTGTAGGCTTATTTGGAAATTACCATAACTTGTAGTATTTCATCCTTATAGGCTACAGACATTAGCCCCACTTACGTTTTGCTAAATGTCCCTTTGCGCCACCTGGCGGTCGTTTCGCGAACGACTTTGAAATGCGACTGGTTTATTTTGACCGCGGTGGATGGCTAAAAATGGGATGTGGATGGCTAAAAGGTGTGACTAAAAATGTGCTTTTGGCTTTCATTTATATTTTGATTGTTTGTATATATATATACACACTACCGTTCAAAAGTTTGGGGTCGGTACGATTTTAAATACTTTTAAAAGAATTCTCTTCTGCTAACCATGGCTGCGCTTATTTGATTAAAAATACAACAAAAATCAGTTATAGTATTAAATATTATCTCCAGTGTAAATCAGCTGTTTTCTGTGTGAATATATAGTAAAGTGTAATTTATTCCTGTGATCAAAGCTGAATTTCAGCATCACCAGTGTCAGTGTCTTCAGTGTCAAATGATCCTTCACAAATCAGTACAATATGAGGATTTGATGCTCAAGAAACATTTATTATTATTATCAATGTTGAAACAGTTGTTGGTCTGTCAGTTGTACTTTTTTTTTTTTTTTTTTTTTAGGATTCTTTGATGAATAGGGTTAGGGTTAGAATCTTTTGTAACATTATAAATGTCTTTACTGTCACTTTCGATCAAATGAATTATTCCTTGATAAATAAAAGTATTGATTTCTTTCCTCCAAAAAATAAAAATAAAATTCTCACTGACCCCAAACTTTTGAACGGTAGTGTGTATATATATATATGTGTGTGTGTGTGTGTGTGTGTGTGTGTATAAATATTTATTTATTTATATATATATATTGTCCTTGCATTCTTTCTTGTGTGACACCCCTGAATGAAAGGCTCATTAGTATGCAGTCTGCTCAGGTGAGAACTGCCTAATTATTCATGAGGGGGTTGGGCCGTTCCGCCCATCCGCATATTGCCTTTGCAAACAAAAAAATGTTTTTCACAATTTAAAACAATCTATTATTTTATGTGAATGATTAGGCAGAATGATTTTCAGATCAATTCAAAGCAAAAACTCTAGGCAACAACATCCACTAGTCAAAAGTCTTGTGGACAAATATTTAGTATGTTATTTGTGGCCTTATATTAGAAACTTTAGTTTTTAGTTTTTTCAATAACCACGCATAAACAATATTCTCTCAAAAATACAAACATGTATTAACATGTTGTTCACATATTATGGTAGCCCTGTGTGTGCTATATAGAGTGTAATTTCACCTGTGCCATTAATATGTTTATAAGCAACTGAAAAAAGCACAAATGTCAGAGCATGCCAAAACATCTCAAGGACCCCGAAAACACCTCAGACCCCAGAGGGTTAAGCTACTTCTGCAGCTAATGAATTGAGACACAGCTTTTGAGTTGATCTGAAATCACACTTGAAACTGCCGGTCTTAAAGATGAACTCTGTTCACTGTAAAAACTTCAGATGATGTTTCGTTGTCCTGACGCTTGTTGTAAAGAAGATAAATGAGTGAAACTCTTCCCTCGTGGAGGAGGGCAGTGATCCGGCTTCTCTCCAGTGTGGATCCTCTCATGTCTTTTCAGGTTTACTGACTGACTGAAACTGTTCTCACAGTGTGAACACTTGTAAGGTTTTTCTCCAGTGTGGACTCTCTCGTGTGTTTTAAGAGTTCCTAAACGACTGAATCTCTTGTCGCAGTGTGAACACTTGAATGGCTTCTCTCCAGTGTGGATCCTCTCATGTTTTTTCATGGCTTCTGACCATTTGAATCTCTTGTCGCAGTGAGAACACTTGTAAGGTTTTTCTGTGTGGATCCTCTGATGCCTTTTCACTTCAGCATCTGTAATAAAGGTCTTCCCACAATCAAAGCACACATGATTCTTCACACCACTGTGTCTTTTCTGGTGTAATTTCAAAGCTCTCAGCAGACTAAAACTCTTCCCACACAAAGAACACAAGTGAGGCTTTTCCTTTGAATGAACGTTCAGGTGGATCTTCAGGGATTTTGCTGAAAAATATGATTTACCACATTGATCACAGCTATATGGTCTTTCTCCAGAATGAGAAAGCACATGTGATTTAAAACTGCTTACATGTGCAAAACTCTTCCCGCACTGATCACACGTGTACGGCTTCTCTCCAGTGTGGATTTTCATGTGTTCCTTAAGGGCTTTTTGTACTAAGAACGTTTTCCCACACTGGTCACATGTGTGCAGATTCTCTCCAGTGTGGATTTTCATGTGTACATTAAGGCCTCTTTTTCTTGTGAAACTCTTCCCACACTGATCACATGTGTGGCGCTTCTTTCCAGTGTGGATTATCGTCTGTCTCTTCAGGATTACATTTTCTGTGAAACTCTTCCCACACTGAGGCGAGGTGAAAGATTTTCTCAATAAATTACTTTCAGTCTGTAAGCAACTTGAAAAATTTTCACCAGCTTTGACATGTTTCTCCTTTGCTTCTCTAAGTTCTTCACTCTCCTTGTCATCCATCAGATCTAAAATGAAAGAAAGGTTTAATTTTCAGTAAATCATAAAAAACTGGAGAAATGAGAAGGGAAATAACAAATTTAACCCAGATATTTTATCAGAAAGAAACCAATAACTGCCTTTACCAAAAAAATAAATATGATATTTTTTAAGTTTCCTTTCTTAATCTGATATTCATCTATTCCCAAATCACTTGTCCTTTGTAGGGTCACAGTGATCCTGGAGACTATCAGCATCTCTAGCCATATGCTGGAAAACATCCCGGATTGATTCACACAGTGTTCACAGGTAAGTTAACTTGCTTTGATTTAATTGTTAAAATGGTGCTGTCCGCATGTATATGTGACATAACATGCCATTAGAGATGAACACTAACTAAGTTATGTGTGTACTGTTTTTTTTTTTTTTTTACTTTCCTAATGTATAATTATTCCAGTAAATAGGGGTAGGTGATTTACCAGTAGAGATAAACCCGTAGAGAGTTGACAACCACTATATCATCATAGCCTGGTTCTACCAGACTCTCGTACATTTCATTTGTACAGAGAGTCTGGCCTCGCTCCATTGAGAAACGTTTACTTCCTTGTAGGCGGGTTCTCTGTTAAAGTTCAAAACTATTGGATCTGCCCAGCGTCACTCAGGATCTGACATAGGCAATCGCTAACGTGTGGTCGTGACGTATGTCATGCGCCGAAACCGGCTGGAAACAACAAGTCCCAATTCCATATTCATAAATCTAAATATCTAAATGCTAAACCTCTCTTTCTTATATTTGTGAAAGAATTTAAAAAATACCTCTTTTCAATTAAGTTGTCTGAGAACAAAAAAAGCCTTAAAAACATTATCTGTTTGTAATTATTTTCCTTTTTTCAGTGTCATGTAATTCTCTTAACTTGTTCATGTTTATTTTATATTATCCCCCTACTGTTTTATTTTTGTTTTGTTTTTATTATTATTTTTTGTTTGTTTTTGTATTATGTTTTCTGTTATTACTTGTGTATTGTTTTAAGCAATAAAAAAAACAAGTCCGAATGATCAGAGGATTATGTTTAGAATAAGATGTCTGTCAACGAGAGCTGCATGTTTTGTTCATCGAATTTAAGAGTTCAAGGAACAATTCTAAATGTATATTTGACACTAAGGACAGTGATGTATTCAGTCAACTGTCGAAGCTGGGTGTAATCATTAACAATACGCCGCTGCGGTCGTTTCGGATCTGCCGCAAATGCTGTACAGTGATCATCGTGCACGCCGAGCTGCCCAGCACCAACTCCTAACCTTTCTGCCTCCCTCACTTGGTCCTCCATTAGTGCAACAAGAGGAGACGACAACAACTATCGGCTTTGCATCCTATCGTTCGCCTTAGCTAACTCATTCACCACTAGCGGAGTGAGCTGGAAAATTAAACTTTTCCCGAACCCCGTGGGGAGGAGGGCCACAACATCATGGCCACCAACAACACTTAGCAAACATTGATCTTGCTCCGGCTTTAACTTCTGGATATTCGGCAGTTTTGCAACAACGGACCGAATAGATTTTCTCACGTCTTTCTCCGCTGCCATTACTGAACTCCAACTCAAACTGACGCGCTACATCAACGTCATCGTTCTCAGCCACTCCCTCTGTTCGCTGATTGGACCGGTAAAAAAATTATTTCTGGAAACCAAAGTCTACAGCACAATCCCAGACGTAGTACTGAAGGAAAATAAAATTGAGCGGAAGTGCGTAGGAGGGCGGAGCCAGGCTAATATCATCATGGTTATACTCCCAAAACCAAGGGTGCACATAACTTTTTGGGTATGGTTCTCAAGGAGCACCTGGAGATGATGCTCAGTACTCACACTTTGAGGCACACTTATCCTAAAAGCTGTCTAAATGTAAAATAACACTATTTGTTCACTGTAGAAATTAAATATAGATTAATCTTTGTTAAAGCTGTTTTTTCTATTTTATTAACATTAATGACATAGACAACAACAATAATATTAGGCTGTTGTCTCTTTCTGAAATCAGGCAAGTTGCATCACACAAGATCTTGGAACAGAATGTATATTTGAATAAATCCATTTTATGAAAACCAACATTTGAATGTGAATATTAAAAAAACTAGTAGAATCATAATTATGTAATTAAATTGTATTACAAAATTTTTATTAAAACTTCCTTATGAAATGTATAAATTACGAATAAATTAATTTTAACCTTTAATATTACAATGTACCAACTGTGGTTGACTGTAAAGTTTACTGCATTAGATGAGAGACATTTTTGTCTTTGAGGAAATTTGCCATGCACTGTACCTGATAGGCCACAAATTAATCAATATCTAGGCAAACTTCGATCGAAAGCTTATGAATCAAAATCGAATCCAATTGAGAAATGTATGTTAATGCCCAGCCCTAGTATCAATACATATTGTTACTTGAAGAAAATGTTGTCTCTTCCTTTATTTGAGTGCACCAGAATGCTTCGTTTACATGTAAAAACACAAAAAAAATTCTCCTGTGGGACGACGCTGCTCTCAGACTCCGTACAACTATTTACTTCATAAACATGTCACCTTTTTCGTTTGCTGTTCTAAGTTTCAAGAGTAAACATCACCATTCAAAATACTTCTCTCACATGTCATAACTCAGCATCCCTACGCATACTACTTTCTGCAATTAACGTTAATTGTTCATTTTTCCAGAGCATCAACAGGATTTTCCAAGACCATTTTACATGTGTTTTCCAGGACTGGAAACAGGGCACATGAGAACCTTCACAGTTCTAATGACTGTTCTAATAACAACAATTAAATCTGATTAACTGCTTAAAGTTTTTTGTAACCTTAAAGGGATACTCCACATTTTTTGGAAATAGGCTCATTTTGCAACTCCCCCAGAGTTAAACTGTTGAGTTTTACCGTTTTCAAATCCATTCAGCCGATCTCCGGTTCTGGCGGTACCACTTTTAGCATAGCTTAGCATACATCATTGAAGTGGACAAGACCATTAGCATTTCTCATTAAAAAATGACCAAAGAGTTTCGATATTTTTCCTATTTAAGACTTGACTCTTCTGTAGTTACATCGTGCACTAAGACCGACGGAAAATGTAAAGTTGCGATTTTCTAGGCTGATATGGGTAGGAACTATTCTCTCATTCATGCGTAATAATCAAGAAACTTTGCTGCCGTACCATGAGTGCAGCAGGCGCAATGATATGATGCAGCGCAAACACAAACTTATATGGTCACGCAGGAAGTAACCTTGCTGGGGACTATTTTCAGGCGCTGCATTATATCAGAGAATGTCTAATATGGGGAGAACTCCCACTCACAATAAACTTCCGGGGTCTGAACTGGTTGCAGTTCCACTCTAGATCCATATGAGGGCGCTCACAGGTGGAGTGCAGAATGAATGGAGGTCTATGGAGCAATACCCCTAAAAATCCACTTTTCTCAGGATATAATTTTTTGTCTAGTAATTTGAATGTTGTATTCGAAAGAAGATGCAACAAAATTACACATTACTGGGTGTTAGATTTTTTAGAGTCACTTATTTGCTTTAAAAAGTCTTTTAAAGGGATACTCCACTTTTTTTGGAAATAGGCTCATTTTACAACTCCCCCAGAGTTAAACTGTTGAGTTTTACCGTTTTTGAATCCATTCAGCCGATCTCCGGTTCTGACGGTACCACTTTTAGCATAGCTTAGCATACGTCATTGAAGTGGACAAGACCATTAGCATTTCTCATTAAAAAATGACCAAAGTGTTTCGATATTTTTCCTATTTAAAACTTGACTCTTCTGTAGTTACATCGTGCACTAAGACCGACGGAAAATGTAAAGTTGCGATTTTCTAGGCTGATATGGCTAGGAACTATACTCTCATTCCTGCGTAATAATCAAGAAACTTTACTGCCGTACCATGAGAGCAGCAGGCGTAATGATATGACACAGCGCCTGAAAATAGGCCACCTTCCGTCAACACAACGGAACTATTTTCAGGCGCTGCGTCATATCCTTACGCCTGCTGCACTCATGGTACGGCAGTGAAGTTTCTTGATTATTACGCAGGAATGAGAGTATAGTTCCTAGCCATATCAGCCTAGAAAATCGCAACTTTACATTTTCCGTCGGTCTTAGTGCACGATGTAACTACAGAAGAGTCAAGTTTTAAATAGGAAAAATATCGAAACACTTTGGTCATTTTTTAATGAGAAATGCTAATGGTCTTGTCCACTTCAATGATGTATGCTAAGCTATGCTAAAAGTGGTACCGCCAGAACCGGAGATCGGCTGAATGGATTCAAAAACGGTAAAACTCAACAGTTTAACTCTGGGGGAGTTGTAAAATGAGCCTATTTCCAAAAAAAGTGGAGTATCCCTTTAAAATGTCAATGACGTCATACACATCGTACGACCAGAAACCTGCTTTACGGCAATCCTTCATTCACTGGTGCTTTCGCGCATAGACAGACGAGAGAAGCCGCGAAATTTAAAAATACTACTGTTATTGTGTCACGAAATGTAGTTTTAATAGTTTTTCAGTCGACAATGTAGTTGTTTAAAGCTCAAATCTGTGGTTTATTTATAAAGATAGCGCCTATTTAAAAGTTTGATCTGACGTGTTCGGAGTTGTGAGGACCAGTCTTTCACCGGGTCTCAGCACCCCGCCTGGAACAGCCTTTCCTCGGCTAGTGCGTCTGACGTGTGCCGCTGGCTCTGATGTCTCTAGTAGTTAAACGAGCTATAATTCGTCTTGTGTATATCTAACGGGAGATCTTTGGTCTTATTAATCGTATCATTTGTTCCCTGGCAAATCGTTTTGGCTGAGGGCAAAGTGAAGTTTCATAACTTTATATTTTGGCTATTTTAACGTTGTATCCTGCTGTGTCTGAATGGTTTACTTTATTTCTTGTCTTGTATAACTTATTATACCTTTTAGGCTACTTATACTGTTATAATGTCTCTTACTGATCAATAAAACTGAAATTTAACAAAAATAGACAGGGTTGTGTCATTTT